AGTGGCGTCTGGTTTGTGTTAGCACGAGTGAAAGGTGGTTCAGGTTTGGTGAGGCATCCTAACCAGGTTGAAAGGCTCTCTTTTCTGGAATGTCTTTAGGAAAGTCAAAGTAGGCTTGATCAGGTTTTGAAGCCAGTGAACTTTTGCAAGGCAGGCTCATTATCACCTTGCTCTGTACTGAGGAATTTGGGCTGGAACCTTATCAGCTTTGGAAGATTCCCACATGGAAAGATTACCTAAACATTAGAAATGGATGCTGAAACTTAGATGATAAAACCTAAGTTCAGTTCCTGGCTTTGCTAACTGGCTGTCCTTGGAGTTAATAGGAACTGCTTTTTCTCTGCCTCAGTTCTGCTTTTTGGGTGTTTTTTTGGTCCACATCCCATTTCTGCTCTCCCCCAAGATACATTCTGTTTCCCACCCACGCCTTTCCTCATCTGAGAATTACTTAAGTTTCTGAAGAGGAGTCCTGTGAAATGTATCCTACACAGATGCACTGCTGGGGTGGAGCTGGGAATAGAGCATGGGTAGAAGGAAGTGACTGGGACAGGGATGAAGGAGAAAGGTGGTATATGGGACAATGTCACACTGCCGCTCCAGTGGATGAGAGAGCAGAACTGCTCCTTTCCTTGGTGCTGTGGGTCTAAATGAGCTTAAGTTGATACTGCAGTGTCCCCCTCAGTGGCCTCCATGAGCCCATGATGCACGCATAAAATTTAGAGCAGCCACAGCAGTCAAGATAAAGTTGTGTAGGGGATGGGTATCCATTTAGAGCAAGTATTCCTAGAGGTGGTCCTTCTATGCCTCATTATAGTGCCTGGCCTTTTCCATCAACTCCCTGGCAGGAGTGCCTTCCCCTCTGGTGTTCTCCTGTTTGGAGCTCCACTGGCTTCTTTTGCCTGTCCGCTTGTGTCAGCTAACAAGCTTCTCCAGCTTCCCTAGGGCTCTTGATTTCTCTTTCCCACTGTTATGTACATGTCTCAGCAACTGGTTCTCACAGAAACTCTCTAATCACCACCATGGTCTCTCGGAATGACATAGGGTTTCTTCGTGTGCAAGTTAATAAGCTGGTGTAAGTGAAATCAAGAAAGAACAAGGCTACAGCAATGCAAAACCCATTATTTTTTTATTGGACAAGTGTTTTAATGCTCACACTTGAGGGTATGCTAGTAAATATGTTAGAAATGCTTGGAACAGGAAACTGACTGTCTGATACCTCTTGTTTCCTACGAAGGTTTACAACTAAATTGGTACACGGGGTCAATCATGGCCCTTGAGCCAGCAACGTGGAAGCCACTGCTAAGTTTGCCGTTGACTTCACCAGCTAAGAAACTGAGCCCTAAATTCTGGTTTGTTCAAGAGTAAAACTCCTGCCTCTGATCTTCCTGGAAGAAATCAATAGTCTTTCTTATTGGATTACACTGTGCAAGTACTGTGCAGTCTTGAATCATGGCCATCTTATCCTTTACAGGGAATGAGGTCTGCAAGTTGGAGGAACTTAGGTCACCTAAGTCATTAGCTTTATTTGTCTATTCTAAGCCAAAGCTATATTAACAGGGGCAGATGGAATTTGTTCAGGCATCCATAGTGGAAACCCAGACCACCTGAAAAGTAGATTTGTGTCAAGTGCAGTATTTGTATTGACTGAGAGAGCGAGTGGCCTGACCTACTCCAGGGTTTGCCTAGAGTAGAGCTCCTGGCTAGTTATGGCATTAGAGACCTTTAAAACAATATAAAAGAGACTCTCAGTAAAGCTGGGTGGTTAGGCTTCTGTTTTTATTGATGGATCTATGCTCATTTAATCAGGTATTGATGCTTCCAGTGTCGTAAATACTTGGAATTCCCCTGTGCAGGCAAACCTTTGTTGCAATGGAGTTGCACTGAGGGCTGTACATGTAGTACATCAGAGACCTCCTGATGCCGCTTTCAGCACACTCTCAGCTACTAATGCTGAGAAGCTGGTAGGGATCACTGCACTGGTTCCAAGTACAAAGTAGAAGGCAGGAAAGTCTTAGTTGGTGTTGGAAAGCTTATAGTGTGTTTCCACCTCATTTGGAGTGACCGTGCTGGGAAGCAATTTATACAAAGTTGCTATATGTAAACGAAAGTTGCATGTGTTCAAAATGGCTATATGTTTATATAAAAAAGGTAACTGTGCATATGCCATAGGATTGAGTATCGTAAACCTGTATGCCATAAGCAATTTTAATTGGGGGATACAAGTGCCAGTGCAACTTGAAGGAATCCTCCAAAATCACTGTTGCAAGCATGTGGGCTGGTAATTTATTTCTTAGCTCCAGAGGGAAAGAATTGTATCTTCAGCAGACAGCTGATGAGTCTTGGTATTTTTTTGTGAGGCTAATGGCTCTTCTCCTGTAACCACTGACCCTCATCCCACCCTGTCTGTCCCCAAGCTTTCCAAGTGAGGTGCACTCAAGCTTTTAAACATTTTGAAATGGGCAGTCATACTCTGTCATCCTGCAGACAATGAATTTCCACTGACGATCCCTGCATTAAAGAGAGACAAGAGAGAGGTATTAGTGAGCCAGAATGGCAGAAGATGAGGCTATACAAGTAAGAATAACTTGACACCAGATATTGTGGCAACAAAAACATCTGTCTGCCATTAGCTGACTTTCCTCTGGGTGCTTTGTGGTTTTATGGTCTGGAAGGAGATTAAATATGTCCGATAGTTATAATTCCTTCACACTTCCTTACAAGGTGAGAAAATAATTTCTCAGAATAATTAGGCCTCTGAGTATCCTTCAGAAGACAATGACTCTTGATGGTGATCAGTCCTAAATTGACTTTAAATCAGCGACCAAGAGGAAAAGCATGGTTCTGTCAAAAGTCATTGATGTGCGATATATTGCTCAGGAATGTGTATGAAGCAAAATATGTGTGTGATTTTCCAGCCATTTCTAAGTGTGGAGTTATCCACACAGCAAAATTCACTTCTTTGGGTTTTTTTCCCCCTTTTTTCCCCCAGGTTTTCTAGCTTCAATCTTTTATTAAAGATGTGAAGGAATCAATAGTGAGAGAAATTAAATTCACTTGTCATCCTTGATCTCCACAAGCCACATGTGAGGCAGAGTAATGTATATGAGTGTAAGGAGAGTATGCTCTTCCTAGTCTGTGAGTAATTGGATGTCTGTATTCTCTCTCAGGAGGGTGATACAATACCTACTAACAACTGCTAGCTGGAAGCATGACTGGCACAGCAGGATTCAGCAGTGGAGGCCAGTAATTTACTGTCCAATAGGCTGCAAATTTCCCCCTCATTTTATTGTGTGTTAAATTTCCCCTTGACAAAAAGGCATAAGTTCAAAGGATCAAATACTGTCCTGCTGTGGAGCAAATGTTCAATTTAGGCTGCTTGGTACTGGCTAACAGGAATTCAGATCTAAACTATAGTCCTTGAACATGGCAGCCATCATTTAAATTGGTAATGAGTAGTACTCAGAGAGGTTTCTGAAGGTTTGGATTCTGCTAACAGTGATCTTCTAAACCTGGGGCATGGGACAGGTGATGCTGCTGGAGTGATTCAATAGGAGCTTGCTTTACAAGACCCCTGCACAGTCCTGGTTGTCTGGTGACTGGCTCCAAACAGTGAGGAAACTGGTGCAGAACCTGCTGTGTCTCAGGGATGTACTGAGACACCTGAGCCCAGGTTTTGGTATGAGTGGCTCTTACATGCTTTCATTGGCTGAGTGACTCTATCCTGAAATAAGATGAATTTGACTTGTAAGTTCTGTGTAGGTATAAAGTGTCTCATCTCAGCTTTCATTAGCTGAGGTTTTTAACTGGAAATTTACTATGCTACTTTACCAGTTTATGCTGAGTGGAATGGGTCTGTCTCATACCCATCAGCAAGTCTTTGTTTAGTTACACAGTGTGTAATTCTGGTTTTCTTTAGGCCTTTCCTAGTCGGGTTTTAATTGTAATTTCCTCATAAAACCAAAGGTTAATGAAATGCAAGATTCATTTTAGGTTTATTTTAGGAAGTCCTCATTTGGACTATATGCATGCTCTTCAAAGACAGTTATTACTCTTTTGGTCACCAAGCTACCTAGAGAGACCAAAAAAACCCCAAAAGATGACACGTATGTGGATTAACAGGATTATATGAGTCCAAATTAAGATCTGCTAAACTAGTACCTGTTGTCAGAGAGACTTTTAGCTCAAAAGCTGAAGTAAAATATTTTCTTCTGAACTAGGATATTGTAAAGTTAAAAGTCAAGTTCTTTAAAATAAACATATTTTAGTTACCTGAATTAATAACATGCTTTAAAATATTAGAACATAATTATTTCTGAAGTTGTAATTGAACTTGCAGATGCTCTGGCATATATCCATGTGGTTGATGGCCAGTAGGTCTATGCATTTAATGTCTTAATTTATCTTTTTTTGCATTACTTATGTTTGAAGTTAAGCATATGTCCAACTTTTCAGGATGTAGGCAATTGCTTTGTACCATTGTGACTGTGTGTTTAGTTCAGTAGTTATCAGCCTGTTTCAATTTGTAGATCCCATTCAAGTTTTCCAGTGGGGGTGCAGACCCCATCAGGGATTGTCCAGTGTGGCATACTCTATGAACTTGCCTTTGCAAATCCTTAACACCAGTTTATAGGTCCTCTCTAAATTGCTGATTTCCTGCATTTTCCTTGGCTTGGGGAGTCAATATTGAATTGTCGCTATTACTCCCCAGCTGTCATGTGCTGTCAGATTTGAATTTTTGATGCTACAGGGAGAATACCTTTTATCTCCAAACATTGCCAAACAATCTGTTTCCAATTCAGTTAAAAAAAATCTCTGAATTCCTTTTCCTATTGAGTTTGACAAAATCCTCTTTCTTTCATCGTATGAAACTTATTAGGGACCTGAAGTACCCTATAATTTGGCTCAGCTGCGCTTGGTAGAGATCCAGCTTGTCCAGGCATTTCAGATGTACTAACTGTTGCGGTATCTGGGTGTTCATCTATCTTTCAGTGAATGTCTGAGCAGTTAAGAAATTACTGGCTCTTCAGATCACCCAAATAAATGGAGCAGAGAACAGTTTTGTAGAAGAAGTAAACTTCTGACAGTCTGCACGTACATTTTTACGTTAGGCAATGAAGAGCAAGTTGTGGTACCTACCAAGCTCATCTGGTAATCCCCACCTCTCTGTCCAAGCTACTTGCTGAGGTTGGTTGGGGAATGTGCCATTGGTGCTCTCTGGACTCAAAAGACAGATCCAACCAGACCATAGCCCCTGAAAAAGGTTCCATGAGGGACCCATGCCATCCTTACTTAGAATGTTTCAGAGCTCAGGCTGGACTAGTGGAAGGTGTTGCCCTTCCAGGTGGGCTGGAACTAGATGCTCTTTAAGGTCTCTTCCAACCCAAACCATTCTGTGAAGCTATGATTCTATGATTATTTTTAATTTTGGAAGCTATTTTGCCAAGGGTTTACAATGTACGTGTCTATGTGGGTATTTTCAGTTGTTTACAGCCAGCTTCACACACCCCCTCTGAAACTTGCCTGTGTCACTCTTAAAAAAAAAATACTGCCTTTCCTTGTAAATGTTCCCTTACTGATGTCCATGGGTCATCCTGTCTGCATCAGCATTACCACCAGTCCCAAACATGCTCCCAGAGGTACTTCAGGCCTCTGCTGATTCTTTCCAGCTGCTTTTGTTTTGCTTTATAGACAATTGTTTTCTCCTTTGACCCATTTAAAGTGGAACTGAAAAATGTAACCGCTTCTGAAGTCTGTTCTCCACACATGAGCACTTCAAATGTCTGATGATGAACAGCAGCTCCTTCATTCATTACTGATACACAGGCATGGGAATGTACAGAGAGATATTATGGAAGAGGAGGTGGGAATACCACCTTTCTACACTTTCTACAGCTTTTGCCAGAGGCATCATGTGCTCTCTCAAATATCTGTGTATCAGCAGTGACCTCAGTGATGCAATGTCTTAGGGAGTAAGAAGGGAAGATATGATTTCTGCAAGTTTACTCAGAATGTCTAAAAATACTGAACTGTTTGAAGTGATTAGGAAAGCTTAAACTAAAATACCTTCAGAGGCTTTTTTTGTGCCTCTCATTAGCACAAGAGCATTGCCAATCATGGGCTAAACAGTATGGACACAAGTTTAATGTGCTTAAAAATGAAAAGCAGGCTCAAAATCTACAGCATGTTTACACAGACAAGGAGCACGTGCGTGCTTCTGGCAGGCTGAAACTTGGAATAGATTTTTCTGCTCCTATTCTGCCTCAAGCAGCTGCAAAGAACCAGTTAGGCTGACAAACTCTGCTGACTTTTGCGAGTATACCACTCGGGATAGTGTGGCATGAATCTGAATTATGAACCAGTGTAGCAGGAATATTTTTCACTTCATGCGCTAGACATCACAAGTTGCTTTTGGTCATTCTGGAAGCTGGGAACCAGAAAGGTCATTAGCACAGAGAAGTCTCCTGGATTGCAATTCGTAATGTGTTTTCTCTACAGTTTTCGTCTGCTACTATTTTGCAGGTTCATCTCTGTTGTCATAGCAGTGGTAGGACAAAGGTGTTGGTGGTTTCTTCCCTTTACAGGTGCTCTAGTCCCATAACCTGTGAGGATCTTTACTCCTGGTGTACATCCCTGTGATGCTGCCATTGCTCCTGGCCAGTCTCCCCACTGCCAGACCATTCTGAGGGCTGTGTTAAGGCTTCAGCAGTCACAGGCACAAATCTGCTCAGAGGCATCCGTTAACTCAACTGCTCTGTTTTCTAGGCTCGTCCTTGTCATTTCTGACTTTTCTCTGGTCCGTATCTGATGGAGGCTGAAATCCAGCTGCAGGGGAGAGCACTGTCTGCTTTATCTCCCCTACTTTCTGCCACAGTTATGAGGAAAAAGCATTAAGAACAGCACTGGGAAATATGTAAGAGAAAAACCCCAGAAGAGGGATGTCCCTTGCAGCCTTGTAAATTTATTATCTAAAGGGATAAATAGATACTCTGATTCAGTTAACTGTGAAAGTTAGTCTTGGACTTGTAGGAGTAATTTGCAGGCCTGGCTTCCATTTGGCCATAAACACGCTAATGAATTTTAGCCAGAAAATTACAGTTATGGATCTGCAGCTAATGTGTTATCATTTCTGGAAAAGCCTCCTTATTTTAGGTAAGCTTTTGTCTGAGGGATCCCTAATGAACTCCAGCAAATTGAGAGTATCACAGCGACAAGAGCACCTTGGCTCCTTTGAGTGTTATTAGACATCTTGAACTGTTGGTGTGCTTAAACTCCCTCTTCTCTTTTCTCTCCCCCATCTTGTAGCCAGTTTTGGCAGTGATAGGCCAGCACAGCGCACCTTGCCTTGCTGTCTGTGCTGTGTTTGATAACAAATGCTTTAATATGCTGGACTGAGGTGTCTAATAAAAACATCAGCAAAGAAATAGCTTGCAGTCGATGTATTAGAGGTCAGCTTGAGAGTAAAGAATCAAAATCCCTCTCCCACAATCAGATTTCAGTGACTGTTCGTTCACACTATCCTTAAACTTGCTCTGTTAGGATCTCTGTAGTCATAGAATCATAGAATCATAAAACCATAGAATAGTTAGGGTTGGAAAGGACTTTAAGATCATCTAGTTCCACCCGCCCTGCCATGGGCAGGGACATCTCGCACTAAACCATGTCACCCAAGCCTCCATCCAACCTGGCCTCGAACAGTGCCAGGGATGGAGCATTAAGTCCAAATTTTAAAAATTTGCAGTTCTGCATAGTAAAGGGGAAGAGAGACTTCTTTCTAACTGAGCAGAGCAATTAGGCGTCCATTTGCATGGCTACAACTTCACTAGCCATAGGGCCTCACTCAAGAAGATAAACAGAAGTCAAGTAATGACCAGGACTGATCAAGAAAAAACAGGTTAACTAATTTTCTGGAAAGGGATCAATGTGCATTGCCTTAGTTCCTGGTGTGGCCTTAAATCTGTTAGAATATGTTGCAATGGATTGGGCAGTTTACAGCATTCACAATGCAGCTTGTGTGGTCTGATCTTTGCATGTTGGCAGATTCTCCCCTTCTCTGCGAAGAAATAGTAAGTACTAAGAAATATAATAAGGAGGGTGTTCAGGCCGAGTTTTCACTGAGTTAGATGAAAGATACTCCAACGAGAGGTAACGGAGAAACAAAACTAAACATCTGGTTTACAATTTGCATAGCTCAGATTTAGCTAAACCTCCTAATTGCTGCATTTTTCACTGCTCAGATGGACATGGCAAATGATCCACTTGTACATGAAAGTGCCCTATTCCTGATACACTGCCAGAGACAATTAGCCACATTCACTATGGTCCTCAGAAGCACTTGCTGCTGAGTACCACAGCAGATGATGTGTAGCCATGCACTGTTTGGAGGAAACAGAAAAGGAAGATCTTTTTTTAAAAAAAAATAAAATAAAATAATTAAAAGTTCTAATGAAACAGGAAAAAGCAAACCTGTCCACAGCAGAGAAAGTTGTGGTTGCCCCACGGATGTAATAGTCGTAAGTGTACATCATCATGTCCATATCTTCTCCATAGTGTCCTGGATATTCTGTTGTTAACCTTTTACATTAAGGAAAAAGAAGATAATATCATTTAGCATCTTATAAAAAAGTCCACGTGACAGAATGCAACTCAAATAATAGATTTTTCCTGCTGCTTTGAAAGTTCTTGCTTCTTAAGAGCACCACAAGATGCAGTGTCACCTGTGAGACTGCCTTTCCCTTCTACGTAACTAATTCATGTAGCTGTTTGAATACATTTCGGTAAGTTCAGAACTGTTAAGAGCGAGTTGGAGTATTTTATGTATATACATCTGCAGCTGTGGGATAAAAGCAGTGTGAACAAGAGCTCGTCTACCACTTATGTCTTTATTGCAGGGATTTGCTCCATCCTCTTGTGAGTCTGTTTGGTTTGCTGCTGTGGAGTGCTGCAAACGTTGCCAAGTCAAATAAACTGCAAGCATTTATCCATTTATGGATATTAAATGAATGTAGCAATTAATCCATTCCTCTTTGTTGTTTCCACTTTCTGCCTAGTTTATAATGTAAAAATATAGGCCTGGACAATATTTGTTCCATGTATTTTATCTAAGAAGCTCAAAGTGCTTTTGCACTTATTAATCACATTATGGTTACTGCTTCCCTGGGAAATAGGCAATACAGTACTTGGTTTTACAGATAATGAACAGATGCAGGAAGGAGCTGGGCCCTTGACCAGTACTTTATGTCAGCATTATGTTAGAGGTCAGGAATGGAACCCTGGCACTCAGTCTTTCCTTCTATTACTCCATTTTATGTGGGAGTTGCTAGTGGCATTATGTCAGCTTCGCTCTGAAACAGCACAGGGAAGAATCAGGTTCCCTGTAAGGGAGATGTTGTCCCTGTGGAAATGAAATGCTCAACTCCTCTAGAGACTAACAGGGTTAAGGTGCCTCTACAGAAATACTGACAACCATTTTTCTGACTTCATTCAGCCCAGCAGCAGGGCTTGAATGATGCTTGAAGGTGATCCTAGCACTTGCCAGCCAGGCACTCATGTACATGTTTAGATTTTGTTAAACCAGTGGGGTTTGAGCACAAGCTTAAACATTTTATTCATTGGGAATATAATTATTGGGATGGTTTTAAGTTTTTAAAGTTACCCAGCTTTGGGTATATTTGGAGCCCAAACCAGTAACTGTTGGAATACTCAGAAATGAAAAGTTTACCTGAAAACTGAGGGACTCTGGAATATTATGCTGTTTTCTCCTAAAGCCACTTGCTATAACAAAAAAATTCCTCTCAAATTGCCATAATTCTCTGTATATTTTAAGTGTATTTCTGATCATCTTTTTTATGTTCTGATCATCTATGTTTATGCTGGTTACCTTTTCTTTGCAAAGCAGATGTGACGTAAGTCCAGGTCAATTTCAGCTTTTGAAAATTAAAGAAAAACATCATTCAGTTGTAACATCACTCCTTGTAACAAGTCATTATTCCTTGACAACTGAAAAATGAAATTGAGTGTGAAACTCAAGCATGCCCTTTTTAAGACCCCAAAGCATCAGCAGTCAACTTCTTTGAAGATACCTTGTTCTCATGCCTTCTGTCCTTTGGCCCTGGCAATCATCGAACAGATTATGAGTTGTAGTACAAGAACACCTGTCCTCAGGTGTGTTTGGGAAGCAGAAGATCAGGCCTGGTTACAGTGTCTGTTGTCAGAGCTCTGACCAAGGACGCCTGGATTTGCAGAGGCCTTGCAGTGTTTTGCTGTTGGTAAGAACTACAGCAGTATTTCACAGGTCATGCAGACAGCTGCTGTGGACTAGGAGAAACAGAAGTAACCATGTACACGAGCAGTTGTTAGCATGGGTAAATAGACAGTCACGAGTATGCTCTGCAAGGGGGAAAATCAGAGCCACAGTTTTCAGTCCAGCTTGCATGAAAAGTCCAAAATGAAACCACTATGGAATTTAAGGGAACTGACTCTGACCCAGACAAAGAAAATAAATACAAATATTACAAAAGGCTGTTTCCCGTGGCTTCTCACCAAGTAGCTGGTGATTTTTCCTAGACTAAAGATCATCACTTGAATGTGTTTCTATCAAACAGTGACAAACTCGATGTATTTGTTATTTTGATCGAACGTTGTAGTTATCATGTTTGCTTTCAGGACATCTCCCCTTGTGCTCCCAAATATGTATTTGTTTGTCAGTGTCAGACAGTTTAAAACTCTGACTTGAATACCTCTTTGCTTAGACAACCTATGACTTGAATCTTTAATACACTTTTATGGCCCCATAGAAGAGCCTTTAGCTGACCATAAGCTGGTCTTTTCGTATAGCCAATTTGCTATTATAATATATAATAATATAATATAATAATATAATAAAAGCCCTCCAGTTTGCAAAGAGCTGCTTTCAGGGCCCTGCACTCCATGCCCAGAGCTGTAACTCCAGGAGCTGAAGTATACTTCACTAAGCCTGACCTCTGCTACCTGGTCTGCATTTTATCCATTTTCTTTACACAGAAATCAAGGCCTTGAGGAAGACTTTTTTGCATACACGAGTCTTCCTTCAGTGAAGCTGTGGGTCTGAATCTGGGAACTTGAGAGTATTTCTGGGTCCATAGCCAGAGTCCAAGGGAAATAGGGGTTACATCTATGCTAGTAAATTAAACAGCACCAGAGAATATTTCTGGGCACTGTAACTCAATTGCCTAGGTGTGTAATTAGAGCAACCCCTGGGGCAGTTTTAGCCCAGACCAACTAGCAGAGTCTCAGCCAATGCCTCAAAGACACAGTAGACAGAATATGGACATGCTGTTTTGGAGAGTAAGAAAGGTTAATGGTGTGTCTGCTCTCTCTGCCAGAGGAGAGTCCCCATATTTAGTTTACTAATTTGGAGCCTGGGTGTCTGATAGTGCATCTTCGAAGAATCCTATATTGTAGCAGGTTTTTAAATTGCGGTATGAAAACCGGCTATGGACCAGGATTTAGTTCTGTATTCCCCCATCAGCTCCAGGTTTTTGGGTTTTTTTGAGTTATTACGAGAAAACGCTAAGACATGTTTATATATATGTTCCACCAAATGTGTTTCGTAACATCTGTTTGGCATTCAGCAAGGAAAATGTTCTGTGATCTTGACCAGCGCTATGTACTGGGCAGACAAGACTGTGCAAAACACAAGGTTAAAAAGCTGCTTTCAGCTCTTCTGAGAGAAAGAACTGAGAGTTAGTTCTTTGAACTTGTTTCGTGAGCCTTTCAGTTGAAAAGAAAAACTGATGACAAGCTCCTGAATTGCTGTGAAGGGTCTCACAGACCTTTCACAGAAGCAGGTGGTGTTATTCTGAAGTGAATGGATGCAGTAGGGAGCCTTCATTTAGCTTCCCTCTCTTTTCTTTCTGCCTACTCTCATCTTCCCCTCCCTCTCCATTAACTTCTCCACATTACCTTTCAGCCTCTTAAGGCTCCTCCACTAAGACATATTCAAAAATCACATATATGCAATTACTGCAGGTAAATGATTTTGGGACTTGAGCTGCTCTGAAGTTTGTCTTGTTACATAGACAGGTGCCTACTGACTCCTTTTGTTCTGGAGATAAAAGTTATAAATAGTGTCATGACAGCAATGTTCAAGTTCACTTGGGTCTGTGTGGTCTGTCTGTCTAATTCAGTTCTCTTTGATGTTTGCTGTACTCATTTATGAAACTGTTCCCTTAAGCCCGTGCATCTCAAGGTCATCTGAATTGTGTTCTATCACTTGGGAGGAAATGCCATTGGTTGTCCATATAGCAGGGCCCTGTGGCGTGACCCAGCTCTTCTCTATCATCCCCATTTTTGGTGTCTTGGGGATAAGTCACAAAAGATCCGCACTGACGGATACTGTACGTTTAATGCATAGGGATATTAAGTAGGTGGTTTTCTCATCATGGAAGGGAGAAATTCTGGTCATTTAATTCAGCCATTAAGGGTTTTCTCAAAGTGGTCTACCCAGTACAGGACAGCACTTCCCTCAGCATGGTGTGTAACCTTGTTATCAAGTGTTTAACTAAAAACATTAAGCATTTTACTCTCTAGTGCCTACCAACTTCATATCAACTGTGAACCACCTACCAGGCCCTACAGACAGGTAGTTTGTTTACATACTTGCTAACATTTGTAAGCCACATGTGGCAATATATGGTTTGTACCTGAGAGGAGTCATGAAACAAGTGAGGGAGACTTTTTGCACTAGTTGGTGAGGGTTTGCCTGCCCACAGGAGTCTGGACTCCCAAGGAGTCCAAGCCCAAGGGCAAGACCCATTTGGGAAGAACCATCCACGGTAATCTGCACATGGGCTGTGTAAGCACTTCTGTTACTGACCTCTTAGCAAAGAAAACTGAGCTAGGGGAATAGTGAGAAGTCTGGAATAGCAAGTGCTGAGACGAAGTTCCTGCTGCTATTTGGGGTGATCTAGGGCCTGTATAGGCAAGCCATGGTGCTTGTGGTGCCTGAGAAGGGTATGTGAGGGAAGGCCCTAGAAGAGAAGCTTGCAAATCTGCTGTGAGAAGACCTGGGTTATCCTGATCATGGGAGCTAGGCAGTGAGTAATATGAACTCCAGATGAACTCCAAGGAGGCAGAGGATCTGTGTAGGGGCTAGCAGGGTGTGTTTAGTGGGATTGTTTACTAAACCCAGATATGCATATAGGTGTTGAGAGAGGAGAAAGCGGTAATTCTACATTGAAGACTGGGAAAGAAAGGCTTGTGAGAAGGGATATAAGTGGTTTGGCATGTGTTTGGGAGAGCAGGAAAACCTTATAGAAAAAAGTATTTTCATAACGGGGTTTTTAGCTGGGACAGAGTAGATGTGGGATGGTTTATCATCTGACTGGTTTGCAACACCACACCCATCCCCGTGTTTTTCTAATGTACTTTACTATAATCCTGTAAATCTTTCTCAGGGAAGGAAATATTGAAAAAAGGCATAAAAATATTTAACAGGGTTACTGTTGTTATTGTTCTAGTCTGAAACTAGTAATGTTGTTTAATTTCAATGGTGAAGAATTACTGTTAGAGATTAATAGAAAACACAGAATTAC